TGAAACTGAAAGGTGGTTGGGTGTGACTATGTACATTTTTAATCCCTGAATTTGGGAGGAGGCAGGAAAACCAGAAGTTCAAGGCCAGCCAGGGTTAAATGAGACCCAACCTCAAACAAACAAAACAAGACTTATGTTTTATTTTTCAGAAAGAAAAAGTGCCCCCACCTAGTGTCTATCATTTCAATAGTAGAAGTTGAAGCAAGAGATTATGATTACAAAACAAGACTTTAGAAGCTACCTCTACTTTCCTTAGGAAGCACATAGATAAAAAGATGAACATGAAACACAATAACAAAGAACTTTCACTTGTACTGAAAATGTCAATCCACACTGGTGACACTAGTGGCTGAAAAACAAGTAAAAGCAAGTGTGGTGGGTGGCACATGTGTATAATCTCAGAACTAGGGAAGTGGAGGCCTCGGCTTCCTGAGTATTCCAGGACAGCCAGAGACCCTGGCTCACAAAGAAAGCAAGGTAGTTCTAGGTTGTTGGCACACACCTGCAATCCCGTTACTCTGGAGGCAGAGGCAGGCAGAACTCTGTAAGTTCAAAGCTAGTCTGGTTTACATAAAGCATAAAGGTCTGGGCCAGATGGGAATGAATACATGGTGTGACTGTGTCTCCAAAAAACAAAACAAAACAAAACAAAAAACAAAGTAGACAATGATGTCCCTGAGGAAGAACATTAAAGTTGATTTCTCATCTTTATACACACACACACACACACACACACACACACACACACACACACACACACACACACACACCCTCACAAAACTAAAAACTGGAGGCCAGTTAAGATCATGTGCTGCTCTCCCAGAGGAAACTGGTTCAGTTCCCAGCATCCCGTGGCAGCTCACAACTGACAGGACCTACTTCCAGAAGATTCAATGTCCTTTTCTGGCCTTCAAGGGTACCATGCACATACACACATGCAAAACACTCATTGCACATAAAATTAAAATAAATTTATTTTAAAAAACTGACAGCTTATCACTAGTGGAGTTTGATCCTCAGCAAATGGCAGTGTTCAGAACAATAAACTCCAAAACAACAGAAATTCCAGGTGTACGAGGTTACTTGGTGTATCTCTTGCTTCCTAGTCTTAAAAACAGGCTTCTGTATAAATGTACAGCCCCCAATAATGAAAATTTTGTTTTGTCAGGACAGATTCTCATGATAACCTGGAACTCACTATGCAGACCAGACTAGTCTCATATTTACAAAGATTTACTTGCTTCTGCCTGTCCTACTGCTGGGATGAAGGTACACAGGCTTGCCATACACACACACACACACACACACACACACACACACACCCGTACCACCTTTTTTCCTTTAAAAGGCAGCCTTTTTTCCAGAACAATATGACTCTGTGAACCCAAAACTCACTGTTTCAGCTAGGCTAGCTGGCTGGCCAGTGAGCTACTGAGGTCTCCTATGTCTGCCCACTGACACTGGGGTTACAGGAACAGATGGGCATGCCTAGCTTTTAAGTGGAACCTGTAGGTTTGAACTCAGGTCTGTTGCTTTCATGGCAAATGCACTTACTTATCCACTGAGCCACCTCCTCAGACCCCAGGATGCTATTTACAAAACTGAGGAGAAGTGGTAGGAGATAAATAAAACAAACAAAAGTTAATGATCAATATATGGGTGATGTATCCAAGGTAATTTGCTAAACTAGTTTCTATGAATGAAAATTTTAAGCATGGGGAGGGTGGTTTTCTAAACCCTGACCAATGAATAAGCTAGCATTCCAGCAACAATCCCAAGAGTTCTTGGAAATGTTCAGATATTTCCTTTAAGAAAGCTGTCTAGAAACAGGGAGTGATGGTGAATTCCCAGGGCAATGACATTGGGAAAGCTGTGGCAGGGGGGATCACATGAAAGTACCCTATCTCAGACAAAAAGGAATAAATCAAAATGTTTATGCTTTCCTTTACATCAGAGGTTCTCAACCTGTGGGTCATGACCTTTAGGGGTTGAACAACCTTTCCACAGGAATCCTGTATCAGATATCCTAAATATCAAATATTTACATTGTTACTTCATAACAGTAGCAAAGTTACAGTTATGAAGTAGCAATGAAAATAATTTTATAGTCGGGGTCACCACAACATGAGTCACTACTAAAGGGTTGCAGCATTAGGAAGATTGAGAACCTGTTCACACTGTTCTATTTTCTAAACTATTTAAATGGAAATGTACCCAGGAAAGCCATGGTGTTCTAGATAGTTGCCCCTGCCTTTTGGAAGGACTGCTTTCCATGAGACTGTCTGAGAGTGGAACTCAGGGTTGGGCTAAGAAAGGCAGGGCTCCAAACAAGCAACAAATTGTTTCCCTTTTCTTCATGACACTTTTTTTTTTTTAAATCACTGTATGTGTGGGCATGCACATGTGTGCATATGTGCCATGATACAACACACATGTGAAGGTCAGAGAACAAGTTCTGGAAAGGTGGTCCTTTCCCTCCATCATATGGGATCCAAGAATTGAACTCAGGCCATCAGGGTTGTACAAAGTACTTTAACCAGGAGGTCATCTTGTCCAGTTCTTTAAATACAAATAGTGCTATTAAACCAGAACTTTTTCCACATTCCTGCAGGCAGCACTAACTGAACTCCACAGGTTACAAAGAAAGAAAGGACATGGAAGTAGAAGGCAGATGTATTTGAGGAGATGGGGGAGCCGGAGGGAGAGCTGAGACTGGATATGGCCAAAATATGCATACATGTATGAAACTGTTAAAGTAAATAAAATATACTTAAATAAGTATATCTTTCACAAAATATTTTAACTTAATTTCAAGGTACATCTTAATTTATGCATAGGTTAATTTCAGGTGTTAATTTGCAAGTATAAAGGACATGAAGCAATACAGGTACATACATGCAGGCACACATATACACTCTCTTCTGGAGAATAGCTCAATAGCACAGTACTTACCTAATTGACAGAATGTCTTCAGCTAGAATTCTAGCACTGAGAATCATAAATTTAAATTAAATTAAATAACTGCATACTTATTTTTCCATTCTTCACTATGTGTTTAAAAAAGCGGGGGGAGTAATCTGCTGCCAAAGCTTGTTCAGAAATATGAAAGGAAAAAAATCAGCTGGTTTTTGTCGTTCACACCAATTCTGGCATACATGTGTGCTTATGTGTATAGAACCACACAATACCCGGCTAAGGTAGAAAGAAGTTTTTGTTTTGTTGTTTTATTTTGTTGGTTTTTTTGTTTTGTTTTGTTTTTTGGTTTTTTTTTTTTTTTTTTTTTTTTTTTTTTGAGTGGTAAATAATTTGGGATAACAGGATTTCCCACTCAATATGAACATAGATTTCTTGAACTCCACTATTAATTGCATTACATTTCTCAGGTTATTCAATTCAAAGGACACCCAGTCTATTAATCCACAGATGGGTTATTATAAGCTAGGACATCTCTGGAACTTTTGGAGTCTTTCCTTTGCACTGCTAAAAAATAATACAACAGCCTACAGCCTCAAACAAGATGTATTTGTAATGAAAGTATTTTTCTTTAAATCACAGTTTATTTTAGTTTATTTTTGACACCAGTTCAGTCAACACAATGATGCACTTAATGTGTACTGATTTCTTCTGTGAGATCTAGGCTCTGTTTCCTTTTGAGGAGTGTTCTAGTGCAGGTCTTCCAGGGAAACTGACATCATTGTCTACTTTTTGCTTGGCAAGTACTGAAATATCAATACTGAAATATCCTCTAGCAGAGAACAAAACATCAGACTCAGCTTAACAGGAGGCTGACCTCAGAGGTGGGGACACGCCATTTGAGTCAACAACAAACTCTGAAAGACAATGCAAACAATGCCATCCTTTTACAGATGGTGGGTAGAAGAGGTAAGAGAGGATTTGGTGATCCCTTTTGCCCAATGCTCGGTCCTTGCCATACTAGACAATAAACAAGACGTATTTGGCATGGGCAGCCCAAGGGTAATACGTGGGGTCTTTCCAACTAAAATGTTGCTATCTAAGAACAACCAGTTTCCCACTAAACTTGATCACAAACAGAATTTGCACACCCATGATCCTGGCACTTGAGAAGTAAAGCCCATCATGAGGTTTACAGGTTGGCTATTCAGTGAGACCTGAAAGGCAAGCTAGGTGAGTGTGTGTAAGGGGGGGGAGGGGATATGCACTCCTCGTGCAAGAAAGAAGGAAGATGATGGGAGATGTCGTTCTGTATATGTTTCTCATACTGGTTTATGAATAAAGCACTGTTGGCCAATAGGAAAGCAAGATAGGCGGGACTAGGAGACAAGGAGGAAAGAGGAAGTAGAAAGGAGAGTCAGGATAGGGAGCCTGGAGAGAACAGAACTGCCATTCCTCCGCTCTCGGTAAGACCACGTGGAAATACATACAAATGGGTTAATACTTAAGACAGAGCTAGCCGATAAGAAAGTAGTAACTGGACAACAGTATAATATCATATACAGAGTCTCTGTATGTTATTTGGGGCGCGGCGACGGGACCAGACCAGGCAGCGGTTGGAAAAAACCTTACTCGTTACAGGAAGACAAATTCATCTAAGGCTAAAGTTGTACTTCATTGTCAAAGCATGTGCTTTACATGTGAAAACCCTGGTTTCATCCTCAGTACCAAAAAGAGGTGGAGGAAATTTATCCTAAGACTAGTGTTAGGGAGACTAGAGTGAGGCTCAGCTGGTTAAGAGCATTGGCTCTCCCCAAGAGGGCCAGGATTGGATTCTCAACACCCACACGGCAGCTCACAACCTTCTGTACTTCCAGTCCTAAAGGATCGATTACCTTCTTCCGTCCTCCACAGTCTCCTGCACAAACGTGGTACACACACACATACTCTCTCTCTCTCTCTCTCTCTCTCTCTCACACACACACACACACACACACACACACACACACACACACACACACAATAAATGTTGCTGGGTAGAGCATGCCTTCAATCAATGCACTCAGGAGGCTGATCTGGGGACTTACCAAGGGCATGGCTACAGCTGCGGCACGATTCGGTCAGACTGACAATTATTTGCTGGAGGTCTGCTCTTGGTGGGGTGGGAGAGGGGTTGGGGTTCTTCCAGCCATTGCATTTACAGGACTCCTCTGCCTAGAAAAGGGAATAAAGAGAGAAACACAGCTATATAATGGGCAGCCATGGACAGTTTTACAAGACAACCAAGCACACCAGTTATCTGACAGGAACTCATATATATGCTATGTAAATTTCTATGTATGTAAGAGAAACAAAACAAGAGGAAAGCAAAGGGAGTGCTTTTGGGGGGGATTAATTTTTGCTTCTGCTGGTGGTAACTGCAGATCAGACATTTTGCTATTGCCTTACCCAGGGTATTATTCAGGGAATGGGCAGTTCCAAGACAGTCCGAAGCTCTAGCTTCATAAAACAAGCCACATTCCCATACAGTGATAGGACAAGCAAGAGCTTGCACTACTGATATCAATATCACGTTTCCCAGAAGACCTCCTTGGCTCTGTAGGGAAAATGAAGCTGCCTTACTTAGCCTCTGTGCAGTGACCTAGGCTATGAAAGACAGAATAAACATGAAGGATGCATGATTTATACTATAAGGCTTGCCATCATACATGTGGCTGGGAGGCCTTCAGCTAAGTGTCCTTACACTGAATGATCCTGTTCCTCCTGGAAAACCCCATTCCCTCCCTGATACCAGTTACCAGTAGTACTGGCTAGTTTCAAGTGTCAACTTGACACAAGCTAGAGTTATCACAGAGAAAAGTGCCTAAATTGAGGAAACCCCTCCACAAGATCCAGCTCTAAGTCATTTTCTCAATTAGTGATGAATGGTGTGTGGTGCCATTCCTAGGCTGTTGGTCCTAGGCTCTATAAGAAGATGGGCTGAGCAAACCAAGGGATGGAAGCATCATCACCCCCATGGCCGCAGCATCAGCTCCTGCCTCCAGGACCCTGCCCTGTTTGAGTTTTGTTCTTGATTTCCTTCAGTGATGAACAGCAAAGCTCTGAAGTGTAAGCTGAAAAAACCCTTTTCTCCCCAACTTGCTTTGTATCATGGTGTTTCATCACTGCAATAGAAACCCTAACTAAGACACTAGTGCTCTCAATTTGTCTACTAGCCAAAGCAGTAGGCTCCAGCTGCAATGAAAGACTATCTCAAAAGATAAGGTGGACATCTCCAGAGGATCTGACACCCTCATCTGGACTCTGCCAGAACCTGCACTTGTGAACACACACACACACAAACACACGTGCGTGTGTGCTCTCGCATCACATCATTAATTTTAAAAATAAGATGAAGAGAAACTGAAGAAAGACAATCAACCTTGAACCTTGGCTTCCACCTAGCCCCCTAGACTTGTTTGTCTCTGAGGACAGGATACTTAAAGGCCAGAACCCCCTTCCAGGACTAGTCAAAACTGCTGGATCTAAAAGGGCAGGTAGACATGCCAGTCTACAACTCCATTATAACACCACTTCAAACTGGCATGCCCTAGCAACAAGACAGTTGCCAGCTGCCACAGCAACAACTAGAAAGGCCCAAAAAACAGAAAGAAAAGAGTCAGAGTTTTTGTTTGGTTTGGTTTTTTGAGATAAGCTTTCTGGAAGTTGCTCTGTAGACCACACTAGCCTCAAACTCAAAGATTCACCTGCCTCTGACTCCTGATTGCTGGGATTAAAGGTGGGTACCACCACCAACTAGATTCTGCCAGAAAACCTCTGCACATTCCCGGAAGATTACATGAAGTTTTCTCCCCTTCATAAGCCCCTTCTTTTACTGTGTCTCTATGAATACAGATAGGTTGACTCTTAAGCTGACCTTACATTTCTGCCCTTGGATAAGAACAAAATTCTTGCTTCTGCTCAATTGGTATCATAGTTGCCACAATTCCGAGAGGGAGGAAAACACCAAGTTGAGATGCGAAATTGCAGCACTTTTGCTATATGACAGGAAACAAAGAGCCTTTTCAGCAAGCCACCAGGCAACACAAAATGAGCAAAATACACTTCACAGCATCAGTGTTATGCAGAGAGAAGGTGCGCTGTAAGGAAGCCAGAAAGAACAAAAAATGCGGGTCCTCAGGGCTGGAGTGCAGCCTGGAAGGTAGAAAAGCAGGGATGAGGGAAGATGGTGAAAGGAAGAGCACTGGGAGGCTACATGTGCAACCCCTACCCTCTACCTGGACTATGATCAAGCCTCTCGCTCAAACACAAACTCCAGGGTTTACAATGGTAGGTGCCCTTCACCCTCCCTGCTTTCTCCTATATTCACCCAGTCCAGCACCCAAACTTTCCCTCCTTTGATTTGAGGGTGGAAAGGGACCTCTCTACATCTTTTATTTTAGGAGTGTCTACTAACTCACCTTATTTCTGTCTTTAAATTTCCAGTTCAGAACCCAACCATGCCTTCTGTGACAAAGAATACAGCAAAGATTTAAAACCTTCTGACATGGAAAGAGCACTAATGCTTAGACCAAAAAGAGTCGACAAGTATGAGACACATTTAAAACTAGAGAGCACTGGAGCTGGGTGTGGTAGCACACACCTTTAATCTTTTAACCCCAACACTCAGGACACAGAAGTGGGCAGATCTCTGAGTTCAAGGCCAGCCTGATCTATAGAACAAGTTCTAGAACAGCCAAGGCTACATTAAAAAAAAAAAAAAAAAAAAAAACCTCTCTTTTAAAACCAAAAAAAAAAAAAAAAACAGAGACCATTGAATTCTCTTTGAGTTATCGCAAAGATGGCAGGTGCTCTGAACAAAGTTTTTGTTATCAAAAGACCCCAAAGTCTGCGTTGGTTAGCATTCCGCTGAGTAGGAAACAGAAGTCTGAACTCCAAGGAATCAATCATGCCACTGAAGTGTTTCACTCATCATGGTAACCACACTCATGTTTTCTAAAACTTCTTCGCAGAGCTTTCTACTGTACAGTGTCGAGCCTCGTAACTAACTTTGTACAAGCTTCACAACCTCACGGTCTGAGACACTAACAACTATAACCTACATCTTCCTCCCCAGAAGACTGCTCAGGGAAGTGTGGGAACTCTGGATGGACTAGCACAAAAGCAACCATAACTAACTGATGTCATTTTGCTGAAGATGAAGAATGGGAAGCTACATCCTTGTCAAGCTGCAAATTTAGCAATTCAAAGCTAGGCATGGTGGCACATATCTGTCTTTACTCCTAGCCACTTGAGAGACAGAGATAGGTAGAGCTCTGAATTTGAAGGCAACCTCATCTACATAGCCAGTTCTGGAGCTAAACAGAGACATTGTCTCAAAACACACACACACACACACACACACACACACAGAGAGAGAGAGAGAGAGAGAGAGAGAGAGACAGAGAGACAGAGAGAGAGAATTAGTAAGAAACCTTGTGGTGCAAACATGAGGACCTGAGTTCAAATTCCCAGCAACCATGTAAAAAGCTAGGTGTTGAGATGGAGAAAATAGGATCAAAAGTGTAGACTCCAGGTTCAGTGAAAGTAATAGAGCCCTCTGGCCTCCTTGAATAAGTGTGCACATACATACACCGAACACATACACACAATTTAGCCAACAACAACAATTGAAGGACCTGGATGGTTTGGTGGCACAAGCCTGAATTACCAACTTCTCAGGAGCCAGACAAAGCAAAAAGGTTGTAAACTGAAGTTCACCAGAGCTGCAGAGTGGGTTCAAGGCCAACCTGGATAATTTAGTGAGGCTCCTTCTCAAAACAAAAATTTTAGATGTGGCTCAGTGGCAGAGCACTTGCCTACTATATTAGAGATACTATATTAACCCCCCCCCCCCAGTATTAGATGGGGAAAGAGAATTCAAGGATCCAAAACTTGTCTCCCTGTGGGGTTGCTTATAAAAACCCACCTGCACATAGTACACATCCATGGTACAGACAAAAAACACCCATGTGCATAAAATTAAAAATAAATAAATACCAATAAAATAATTTTAAAGGGCTAGAGAGATCACTCAGCAGTTAAGAGTACTAGTTGCTCTCCCAGGGGACCTAGGTTCAATTCCCAGCACCCACAAGGTGCTCATGACCTTCTGTACCTCCTCCATTCTCAGGGGATCTGACATTCTTTTTTGGCCTCCTCAGCAACTGATATGCATGCAAGCAAAACACTTAAATGCATAAAAAAATAAATAAAAATAAAAAAACAAATAAAAACTTGCCTTCCTCATTGAAATTCAAGTGAACAAATAACCACCTTTTAATCTTGGGTAAGATCCTGAAAACTTACAGGCCAGAGAACACAGCTTCATTACTGCAAAGCACTTAGTGCAATCAGCAGAGAAAGACAAGATTACACCCTATTTGCCCCTACATAACATAAAATAATAGTCCTGTTCACCACGGCTCATAAACCTCAAGTCACAATTATCAGAGGATTTATAATAATCAAGTCTTACATTTCTCCGATGTATCAAAATATAAACCATACTTATTTAAGCCACCGAGATAAAATGCTGAGTCAATTCTACCACACAATGAATACTGCCACTTAAACTTGTCTGGGGATTCAATATATATATGGCTTTCCTTGCAAAATTGGCTAATTTTACTTTCCCACCAAATCTCAGGACTTCCATAGTTTTTACAAAGTCAATTCTGGTTTATGTGTTCAAAATGCGTGGGTTGTGTTTTTGTTGTTGTTGTTGTTTGTTTGTTTATTTGTTTTTCAAAAAATAAATAGAAAACTCCAAAAGCAAAAGAACACAAGAAGGAGAAGGCATGAAGCAGAACAATGACAGCCCAATGGTTTGTGGCCCCGTGGCACCCAATAGGGCAAGCCACAGGATAGCATGTCCAGGGAAAGTGACAGCCTTCTGAGGATGTGGTTCAATGGTACAGCCTTGCATGTATAAGGCCCTGAGTCAACACCTAGAACAAAAAAGGAAAAAAAGCAGACACGGTAGTGTTCACCTATAATCTGAGCACTTGAGATGATTAAGACTGGAGGGTCATGAGTTCAAGGCCAACTGGGCTACATATTAAGACCACCTCAAGAAAACAAGCAAACAAACAAGACAGGTATGGCAGTGGCTGCCTTGAATCCCAGAACTATGGAGGCAGAAACAGATGACTCTCTGTGAGTTCAAAGACAGC